CATTCATAATGCAGTTTCGTATTTAGCAGGAACTTACAATAATGCTTGATATAATGGTCAATACCTTCAGTTTATACTAACCAGTAAATTTGCAGGTAACTATAAAGTTACACGCTTAGTTGGGCTGCATGTGCTTCTTGGCTCATTTCGATGTCTTCGTTAGACAATTTACCTCAAACATACTATCTGAGAGAAATCGCGCGATGATTTATCATGGTTTCTGTAGCACTAAAACAGCGCGAGGTTTTGAAGTAGAGCGCTCGTTTTGTCATGCCTGGCTAAATAAATGCCAGCTGAAAAAGCTAGCCTAGAGCAACTAGATCAACGTTGCCAATTGTGGTCTTACGATGCGAAACTACCCATAACGATTATAATAGTATTATTTATTATTATAGGTGATTATTTATTCGAAAGACATGGATAAAATTAGCAGTTTATTGTCTTCCTACCGGCAAATAAATCGCTAACAAATTGTATACGAAATCATGCTTTCCGTTCTACCCTAGTTGGTCCTTAGCTATCCCTAGCTATGACACAGTATAGATTAAACGAAGCATAGGCTTGTTGATTGTCGCGTACCGATATTGACAGGTTGACGGGGTATCTACGTTATCTTGAAGCATGCTAGTGTTTGTCTACGCAGTGGATACGCACTTCTTCCTGAATCGTTTTCGATCCCACGCATAGACGCACGGCCGCTGTCGTAGACCGTGAGAGCGGTATTACTAACACGTATAAAAGATAACCATTTCAACACGTGTTGTTGTCCAGAACGAGAACATCGTTACTGCCATATCTTTTATCGTTATATTGGGAAAATTTTCCAATCTGCCGCTGCTGAAGGTCAGCAACGAGAGGACGTCGTACGCCAGCCGGCGACCGAGTGACAACAAATGTGGCAAAACGGCATACTGAATCAGTAGGTAGCCCACCCAAGTACGCAGAGATCTCACATAATTTACTCTCTCCGAAAAATGCAGCGGGCTGGTCTGTTACAGACCATTCTGTAACGTCGTCTATCCACAGCCGGGCGCATAGGTACCGATGATAAGATCAGCAGCCTCCAGGATATGCCTCAAGCGAGACGGAAAACTCGGTCAAAGGTATAAGCAGATATGATTGGAAACGTTGTTTGAGACTCGATTCGAACGAATGAGTGTCACATGCCCGTTTCTGCATAATAAAGTGTATTTGTGTTGCAGGGATGTAAACATATCGTCGGGTGCGGGGACGAAATGCCATTTCTAGGCTCTTTGTATAGGCTATTTTAGGCACGTTGGACAGACGATACCAGAAACGAACGATCAATGAGAAAAAATAGAAAAATTCAACCGACCTTCATTATCTGAAATAGCACAGCAGCAACCGCTGCGACAGTACGTAAAATGCGGTGTCATAGAGGAAATGAGGTACAACTGAGTCAGATACATCGAATTTAAACTTCCATTTAGCATCAGTCGTATAAATCGAAGGCTTGGCTAGACGGTGGAAATAGCTTTACGGCTATGGCTTGTTATTTGGAATAGGGGGTCTCTTTCAGTTGATAATAGTTATATAATTAAATCATACGACCAATCGAGCTTAGTTAGCTCAAAATGGTTGACTGTTAGCCACCCATCTAAAAATTATACTGACTACCACTGAACAATATCAGAAAATAGTACAACTTGCCTAGCCACGGACGCACAAAAAATTGGCATTCAAGCGTCATAAGTAGCTTCTATTGCATTGAAGTCATCGACTGTTTTTAAAAAGATCGCTTTAAGAGCGCGAACGACTTCTTATGCAATAGCGAGCTACCAAGATTATCGTGTCTGACCTTCTCTATTTTGACGTCCGTTAACGTTTGCACTAAATAGCATTATCGATACGGATGATAAGCATATACATGTTTAGACTTAAGTAGTAAAAAAAATTGATTAGATCTTCAAGGCATTGCTTGGTAGTTCTCGTCTCTGACGGCCATTCTGTAATTTGTATCTATTCTTGTGCCAACAAAATAACGAATACGGATACGAAAACCTACGTACGGCTATTTAAGGTCGCCATTGGAATATATAATTTTTCATTTTAACGGAAATAATCAGTAAAGACATAGCCAGCTTAGAGTGGGCCATTCACATCTCGTAAGCAAAAGCCTGAAAAGTATCTATCGTAGTACTATTAACTTAATAATTATTAAGTTTCATTTAATAGTAATATAATGATTTACATATAGATACGAGTCAATATTGACTAATATCTAAATTTCAAGTAAAACCTAAAGTTAATCTCATACAGAGCCCTATAGACCGTTCAAAAATCGCGGTCTATCACGATGTACAGTGGCAAGCAGTACACGGTCCATAAGGACAAAATAAGAAAGAAGGTCATCTACGCCTACTAACATTTTGTGTTTTTTGCATAGCATATGTAATTTCGCGTATATTTTGCCAGAATAAAAAACGGCTTGTGGGAGTTCAATTGTATACTAAAACCCATTCGCCCCTGTTGGAGTTTGTTGCCAGCCATTAGGGTGTCCTAAAATTGATTTCTATGGTGGTTTACGCCTGAATCAACACTGACAGCGTACGTGCTCACTGTACATACTTTATTGGCGGAAGGAATCCTAACAAGGTAGAGCAAGACGAAAAGCTGATCCGCGTTTTTCGATGGCGATGGTGATCACTGGACCGTTAAAAGCAGAAGGAAAATACAGCTGAGCTTCCTATATCCCTGATAAGTCCTATCTAGAAACTAAGAAAACATTAGTACATACGACCGACACGGACATGACGTACCCAAATACTTACCTTAGAGGTTATTAGATGACTATGCTGCTTACCAGCGTAAGATTATGCTACAACGTAATCCTATAATATGACGATTATTACTAAGAAGCTAAAGCGAGCCGTAGTTTTTTTTACAAGGCTTGCCTGATGCCTGCTGCATAATACAGTCGTATCAGGATGCAACCGGCAAGCAAGAACCCAGTACACTTGTAGTCCTAAATGTTCTCACTTCTTCTCGCCCGATAATACTAAAAGGAACTCTGGACAGTGGCATACCGTCGTGAACTTGCACTGCCAAGAAAAACAATTTTGTAACAAAGTGTCCTGGGTTGTTACTCAGGAAAAGACCACTGTCTCAAAGGAGGGTGCTCTGCATTGCCTAATTGCATTGCTCATTTCCGCTCGTTGCTCCTTTTGCATCCCTCAGTCTAACAGTTGTAACGTCGACATAATAGAAACATCGTTATTTCGGCACAACTAAAGAATCATCACAAAAACAGAACAAATTTTGGTAAAAAATACGAAAAATCTTTGGTCTCGGATAGGCACCCCTTGCATACATCACAGTGCTGAGAGCGAACGTATTAACGAGAATTTACAGGATATTTCTGTGTTGTGGTCAGACAAGTATTTTAAGTGGTGAGTATCGTCAAACTAAAAGCTTGTACGCACTACGGTCAGACATTTTTCTACCTCTCGGCTGGACTAAGCTTCAAACAAACTTTCAAGCCTTCTTCACTTGGCGTTAGGATACACCGCATATTGTCGGGTTCCTTTCGCCATCTCCTGAATAGAACATTTCATAGGTAACAAAGCATTCACAGTGTTGTGAAGTCGATTCGTCCGTTTGTCATATTTGTGTCACTGCGGGAGGTGAGGTTGTTCTAATAAAGGAAAGTCATCAAATAGAGGATTGACGTGTGACACACTATATACGACTATTGTTTAGACTCGTATTGGCATTAATGACATGAAAAAAGTTCACTTAATCGGGAATAGGTTTATCGATGGGCCAATCATAACCCACCAGAATACTAGACTATTAAACTTCTGCTTTATAAATAGCTTGACAACGTACTATACCTAACATATAACACTAGAAGCTTTTACTCAGTTGTCAAGAAAGTGAATAATTTTAATGTGTCTTTTTGATGAATGTGTTGAGAACCTATAAATTAAGATCACTTTAACGGCATTATGTGATCTTTGTCTAATTTTAAAACTTACTTAATACATATACAGGTAAATCTCCAGAGTCACTGTCTGCGTACAGCTGTGATGTCTGGACAAGTATTTTCCTAGGGGAAGGTTTGGGTGTGGTTTCACAGCTGAAATAGATATACCAACGTGGGTTTTTTTCTAGCTACCATTCTTCCAACTGTGAAATTACATCTGATATAAATGCGAATCAAAATTTGTCGTCATTACTTATCTCTCTCTCGGTGTAAAATCGCTATATATTTTCTGATAGTCACAATAAGCCAAATACTTCTAAATAAATTTAAAAAAAAAAAGTATAAAATGTATTATTTTTATTTAAAAACGCCTCAGTTTCATTGGACGTAAAAGCTTAGATGTTACACTTCTATAATAAGTAAATGCGCTTTATTATGTCCCAAAAGAAAGGAAGTGGTACGAGCGTGACGTGTAATCGTACGGCAAGAAATGATACGTTCCCGAAACCCTGTAGCATTTGTGTACGTATACCATTAGCAGAAGCCGATCTGAACGTTCTTCACAGACATGCATGTTCCATGGGTCTCGTTCGAGCTACCGCCTTGGACCTGACACATAATTAAACGTAATATTAAAAAAGTGGTACACAAGATTAGCTCTCTGGATTTGCTCAAGTGCACGTACACTTTGCTATGGCAAGAACTAAGCAATGGATGACAAGCACACCTGGTCTCTATTCTGAGAAACACCTTCTCTTAGCGCGCGTTCGACTATAAAGATCAGCATCGGTTGGTCATCTTTTTTTGAAATTCTACTTTGCAGACAGGGCTTAGTCTCAACTTTCAACCAACGTCTTATTTCATAGCAAATATGTTGTTTAAACACTGACGCATCAAAATACCGAGAATTTACTGTATGTAGTGTTATATAATAAACCGTACGGATAACATTCGGCAATGGTTCGTTCTTGCTCTCTGCATGAACAGTTCAACCTTTTTCTAGGGATTGATTCAAATAGAAAGCGGTTACGTGAAACCTATCGTTGTGGTCTGCCCTCTCTCAAGTATCCACAATAGGAATCATATATAAACGTTGCCCTCAACCCCAGGAACATCACTGACGAAAGCAATAGTCACAGTCCAGGTAAGACTGAACAGCTAATTCTATGTGCCTTTAAGCCATATCGAAAGTCCTCGATAGGAAAAAGCTGCAGAAAACGTCTGCAGCTTTTTCCTATCGCGGAGAATGGAGCGCATGGGAACTGAAGTTGATCACTTCATGAGTGTATTTCAATCTCGTCAACTTTAAAGAGACACGGTAACTTGAGTGACAATTTTCATTAGTATTCGTCTTTTCTTTTCTCCTATCTTTCAAACATCCAATGCAACTTATCTCATTCTCAGCTCTAAAGTGTAAAGCGGCGTCTGCCTACGAATGTTCATTGTGATTTCAGAGAGTTTACAATTTACAAACTCTTGTCAACATGTTCAAACTTCTCGTTATCGCGACCGTCGTGGCTGTAGCCATCGCTGATGTGCAGCCAGCCATTGAGGCTTTAAAGGTTCGTTACTTTATAACGGATATTTACATGGGCTAGAATTTTCGGATAAAATGAAGAGTTAGGCGCAGCCAATATGAATACAGCGCTCATCATGCGTGAGGTCTAGATCGTTCAGATTCATTTACACTTATTTATAATGTTTATTTGCAGACCGCTATCGACAATCTCGATATTCCCGATGAACGCAAGGCTCTTTATAAGGTAAGCTACACACATCTGCGTGTACGAAAAAAAAAAAACAACAAATTGACAATACGTTGCTAACTTTGCTTTCTACAGTTTGTTAGGTGTTCGTCTACTGCTGGTCCAACAATATATATAAGTTCTTCTACTTACTAGCGTATGTTTTAGCATATTCATGTGTCCAGTTTGATCGACTCTTGGCTTGAAGGGACCTAGGATTTTAACAGCGAAGAGCAATGCGAAGTATTTTTCAATGGCTATGCTATTTTCCGTGAATGCCGTTTCCTAGGCCAGCGCTGACAAATCGAAGGAATGCCTTGAAGGTGTTGCCGCTGATGCCGGACCAGAACGCATTCAAGACTACATCACCAAGGTTAGGATCGCCTTTGCGCACTTAATGATTACCGTCAACGCACCTATACTAGTAGCAAGGAGTAAGGTATTATCAATATAGAAATATAATAGCTTATAAATGATTTGTGTGATGTTTCTGATTGCGATGTCCAGCTGAGCCCGCTCGTCGCTGCTTGCAGCGAAGAAATCAAAGGTATTGCCCATGATCATGTTGAGGAGCGCAAAACAAAGTTCCAGGAATGCATGAAGGAAAAGGTTCACGGGGAAGAGTCGACCCTCGACGAAAAGCAGAAGGAGAACGTTGTCAAAGTCAAGGCTTGCCTCCAGCAGGCGCTCGCCTCCTAAAAAGGACCAGACAGATTTAGCAACGAATGCGGACCAAAGCCGGTACAAGTCTGCCTGAATGATCTGTTGCCAATGATGTAAAGTGAATATATATGAAGAGATCCCATGGCTGTCTGTCAATAAATGTCGAAAATTATTTTTTCTGTATAAAACAGTATCTTGAAATGGCTTTTGTACCCATAGTTTCACTTTGCAACTGAAAAGCGGCCATTATTATTATTATGGCCTCAGTGAATTTTTAGTGAGCGTATTAGTATTTATTTTAAGCTTTGGTAGAAATTCTTGGTCGAGTTCCATTCTACTCTAAACCGGTCCTTATTATTGCCGGTTTAATCCAGTTCGGAGGTATCAGGGCGAGTCTGTAATCAACAAATATTATTATATATCGATTGTATAGATAATTCGGTTAATTAAATGCCTAAAGGCGTACTAAATATGCTAACTGATACAGAATATGATAATATATAGCTTCTTAGATATTCATATGCGAAATAAGGGTCCTACAAAATGCGTAGCACACTTTTATTCGATCAAGAAGTGTAAGAACGACGCCTAGATATTCAGCCACTTGCTGAGACTGGACGTGTAGAAATCAATGACGCATATGGAAAAAGCGCATTGTTTACACAAGCGTCGTATGGCATAACGATATCAGCGTGGAAACTATCTACCGCAGAGCCTTGGCCGCTACCGAATTCCAACAATATTTAACCGCAAAATCAGAGAGGCAAAATGAGGAGAACCATCGCTAGATCTATGGGGATTTTTCAACTTGCATATGATCCATCAATGCAATGGACTGATTTGAGTTCCACGATAACTTTAAAGATATTCTAGTAGTAAGTGAATTCCCTGTTTGTCTAACAGTATTGTATTAAATAATGCATTGGGAAGTCATAATAGTAGTTGCTTTAAATGCTCCAATAGCATGGATTTACTATAGAATCTCTGAACGGTATTTAGGGGGTGGGCGTGTTAAGAGGCAGCAGTTCAGCTATTACCGTTATTAATGTCACCTCATCGTTGCGTGCTTGTGCAATGAAAGTTCCCAGGGCAATAAAACATAATAGCTAAATATACGTATGGAATATGGGTGCAATTATATTTTTTTGGATTGGAGTTCGGGCAAAAGCACCAAGATCGAATGAACCGGTGTGTACATCTAGACCATAATTTAGTAGTTATATACCTACTACACCCGCACAAACATCACTTATTCTAGCGATAGCGCGCCTGCATGCAGAAGTACCCCCATAAATACTATTATGTCCTGACATAAGACAAAATGCACTTAAGCGCTATTATAGAGCGATTTATTACTAGTTACTAATGTAAAACATCCCACTAAATAAACACTAAATACAAAAGTTGTTCGCATTTTCTAATAACAGGAAAAAACCTTGGTGGAAAACAACGCTTGAAAATCTATAGAAGGATTGCTATTTCTGACATATTCGGTTTAGACACTATGGTAATTTTAACAGATTCCAGTGAATTACCTAAAAGTTTTTGGTTCTCAGAAAAAAAAATATCAAAAAATCAAATAGTTCCTTCACTCGTGAATGTAACGCCAGCCATGTAGACGTTAGTATCTTGTAAAAATCATCGCAACTCAATTTAAGTTAACACTATAAAAGATATAGGGTAGCGAAACATAACTCTGTGGCACCAGATGGCTGACTAGCTTGCTAGCTAAGAAATGAAGAGATTTCTTCTTCTCGTGTATTATCGACCCCGAAAAAGATTTTAGATCTTATGGCCGACCTGCTTTCTTCTCTACCAATATCAGGCGATCAACTTAATTCACTTCCCCGAGATTTTGATGAAGGGCCCTACTCGCGTGTCCTAGTTCTGCCGGTCATACTGCCTGTCCATTCTTAGTAGAAGCCACAAAAATATATTTCTCGGCCCATGAAATGGGCCAATGGGGGATACGGAGAAGCGTTTAGGGGGGGGGGGGGGATGGATCTAATCCTGCTCTAACACTTGCCTGGTGCTGAGCCTAAGAAGATGTTCGTCGTCGGGCAGTCGTTCGAGATCAATTCAGTGATCTACACACGGGATGACTGCATTTCTTCAGGGGCACCCTTAGCTTGGAGATTTTCGCAGGAGGACGAGCTTCTTATAGAATTTGCGATGTGCTGATGGTAAACAAGCACATTCAAAGTAAGCGCATGAAAGCTTGTTGAAGGCCGTTATGGGTTTTAGCACAAAACTCTACTCATTTACAAATCTGATCCTAGCAATACCTTATTGCATAGGAGCCGGTTATTCAGTTGTTTTTTTTTGTACGTGTGTTTTACAGTAAAACTCAAAGTAAAGGTTTTCTTAGCTTCACAATTAAGGCCTCTGCTATGCAAGTCGTTCTGACAGGCAATTCCTTGATATTGGGGGGCACATGTGCGTAATATATTTGAAGCTTACTCGAGAAGAAAGCGCGACCTAATTAGGACCGTATCCGGTAAGAGAGTACTGATCATCAAGATGCTTTCATATGTCCGATTTTCGCTAGCTTGTTGAAAGCATCCACCCTGGGCAGAAGTCTGCCACACTGTAGAGCTTTGATTACGCCATTAAGCCACACATAGCGTTAACTACGCGTACCACTTACAATATATGTGTGGCTAGAGCAAATGTTTGTATAAGATAGTTTCGCATCGCATTACATAATGCGCACTGAGCCAATGCAATTACTATGTTGAGTTCAAGTTTAACCAAAACTCTAATATGGTTAATTTATCCAGAACTTCAGAACAATTTTTTGGCCTTTATCACAAACAAGACCTACACACCCATTAGACGCCCAGCTTCTACGTGGGATCGCAAAGACAGGCTCACAAGTACATCACACATCTACCGACAGACAACCCAAAATTACGAGCGTATGTCCACTCACTCATAAACACGTGAGAGTATTTGTTTTGATGGAACCAGTTGTCTACGCTGAGTGAGTGAATTCACGTGGATCCGACCTGAAACCATCTTGATATCTCATTCAGTCTTCTTTGATCTGTAGTACAGCTGTCTCGTCGTGCGAAAACAAGTTACAGAAGTAGGATACATATAATATTATATGGGATTTGTATTGCGAATTTGATCTCGAAGAATTTTGAACGTGGCAAATCAACTTTGAAACACCTCGACCCATAGGCAAAGAAGGACTAGTCTAGTTTCACAGCGATTATATAGATGGTTTCTATAGAAGTTCGTATGACGAATCTCCTCCGTAAATCCGTATATTTTATTATCATGTCGTACTTTATTTTTTTTCTACGGTCGACTGTGCTCATTTCAATGATTGGACGAAGATAAGTTTCGTAGAATTTATTAATTCCCAACAGGAGAAGGAATTTCTAGCACTTTCTTCAATTTAGTGTCTCAACTTGACGAACATCGTAAGCTATGAAAAGTGACGAAGATATACGAAAACAGCTCAGCCTTATCAAAATTCCAGTTCAGTGCTTGTTAAATCTAGGATGACGTGGGCGATTATTCTTCGATTGCCTAACGCCGACTACAGACCAGGTCTAAAGAACATTATATAAGATCCCCGAGATAAAGGGGTGTAATAGTGACCCTAGTACAATTACCCACCTAACCTTTCCCTCTCCCCACAGATGCGTCCAAAATGACGGACACCTTAGGCTGCAACTGCTATACGTTTAGCCGGCAGGCCTTTAGAGGTCTAAATTTTTCAGGTTTGGTTACGACCATTATCTATACACACGGGCCATTGACGTTTATTAGCGGATTCGAATTTTAGTAACAATATGCGTTGTATCACAAATATTATGTTATTAACGTCCGAAGCCTATTTTAAGAATGTGAGTGGATTAGTAATATCAAGTTAATCAAAGATGGAAGTTGATGGGGGGTGCATCGGTTAGTGTGACGCAGCTGCGAGATGCTGAGCACTGCCCTCTATGTACCATTTCCGCACTTGTTGCATTCGGTAGCAACCCAGTTATGTAAGGATCCATTTAAAACATACCGACTACTAAAAGAGGTTACGTAAATCTATGGAACTATTCCTAATTCGCCACACATCGCAACACCGTATGTTGATAACTTAAATTTAATCGACCCTTCAAACACCTGTTGACAAAGGGTTAAATAAATTTTGGTCGCTTACTGTCGCCGCCGAAGCGTACCCTGTATATACATAGTGAATGTATATATGGAATATATACACACATAGAGAATGTCTATATGGTATGTATAGGATAATTCCTTGGTCGACAATTCTCGAACGGTAAACGGCGTAGCGAAAATACTGTACAATAAATCCATATGAAAGTAGACATTTTTTCATTATTAGCGATATCAAAATCGCCTATTAATAATGATTAATTATTAATTAATTCCACCATGCTTAGCAAGGTAGAAACAAATGTATTACTCAATTGAGGCTACAATGTTCCGATTAACGGTTTACGGCGTTCAAAGTCCGATTGTTGAAGTAAATATCGGAAACAATTTAGTACAATGGTCTGCCAATCAAAGCGAGGAAGAGCGGAAGACTCCCACTTGCACTATTCCTAGTAAACGCGACGGGGTTTATTTTTTGCTAGACATTATGGTTACCAAATAGTCAATTAGTGTTTGGGTAAATATGGGCCTTATATAAACGTCTACCGATTGATATACTCTGAATTCTCTAATTTTTCACTGGATCAGGATTAGCGACCTAAAACACTTTTACACGATCACACAATCTGGTGTATTTCAAGATAGCTAGGCAGACTTTGCCCTAGAAGTGCGCTTAGCTCGCAATCTGCTAGGTCAGGTATTTATATTGAGAGGTCAAAATCATTCGCCTGAACAGAAATGTGTGAAGCGATCAGGGTTACCAAACGTGGCAAATCGTCAATACAGCAACGCAAGATAAAATTCACGAAACGAGACAACACTCACAGAGTTCACGAAATCCCACGAAAAACAACGTGACTCCTTTCGTATGATTCCCTGGTTAAACTGAGGAACATACATGTTAACAAGCGTTCCTCGAAAAAAATGCAAACTTTTTAATGTATTGCAGAACATTTTTCTAGGTCTCCCATAAACGTTCGTTGACGTCAAACAGTAAACGAACTCGACTTGTTTATTGCGATAACATCATATGGGCGCACGGTTTCCCGCTGGGTCAT